TGCTGCGGAGTATTTCTAGACGTAGCCCAAGCCTTTGATAAGGTTTGGCATAAAGGACTACTAATAAAACTACGAGAACAACTACCACACACCTGGTGCGCACTTTTAGAATCTTATGACTGAAAGACAGTTTCGAGTTATGCATGAAGAATAACAAATTGGAAAAACATATCCGCTGGAGTACCTCAAGGTAGTGTACTAGGACCTACTCTTTATCTGCTATATACAGCTGACATCCCAACCAATAATTACTCAATGACCGCTATGTTTGCTGACAATACAGCAATTTTAGGAACAAGTATTGATCAAGAGACTGCTACTGAAAACGTACAAACCTCAATCGATAGTATATCTAACTGGACAAAGCGATGGAAAATCAAGATCAATAGTGATAAGTCAGTACATGTGAATTATACTCTACGTAAAACCAAAAATCTCCAAGTGTCGCTGGATCACATGACAATCCCACAAAAAGATTCAGCCAAGTACTTGGGTATGCACCTTGATTCTCGCCTTAATTGGAAACATCATGTCCGCCAGAAGAAATTGCAAATAAAAGAAAAAATGCGCAAGCTGTACTGGCTAGTTGGTAGACATTCCACACTAGACCTGGCAAACAGACGGCCAAACAAACGGCTTCTATATGTAGCTATTATCAAACCGATCTGGACTTATGGCATACAACTGTGGGTCTGTGCCAGAAAATCCAACATCGAAGTCATTCAACGCTGTCAGAATATTTCCCTTCGTACCATTGTCGCAGCATACCGGTTCGACAGGAATGAAATCATCCATCGAGACTTGAATATACCATCCATCGAGGACGAAATTAAAAAGTTTGCCAATAAACATGCGAAAAAACTTGAGTTGCACCCAAATGCAACTGCTAAACAACTTCTTCACAATTCGCAAGACATTAGGTGCCTCAAACGTCTGAAGCCATATGACTTAGTTTATTAACTTAGACTAAGAAAAGGGGCTATCTCAGTGGAGGTACAACCCCAAACATGTTCTTGTATAATATATATGTATATATAAGTAATTATTATTGTATAATACTACTTATGAATTACTGTTATTATACTGTATTCACCCACAATGTATTATATTGGTATGTCGTTTAAATAAAGATGCCTTAGGCAGTTAAAAAAAAAAAAACCTATTTAACCATTTAAAAAATACTTTTCTAAAATCAACCCCTTCCAATAATATAATAATACCCATGAATGATAATACATCAATATTTTTTATAGATAATAATAATATATGAGTACTATAATTAAAATTTGTAAAATAAATTCAACATTAAGATAACTTTTAAATATAATATTCTCAAATTAAAAAAACTAATTTGAATGTACTAACTATTTATTTATTTGTATGTTATTTAATGTTGTAGACGCTGTGCTCAAGAAGTTCCCAAACATACAAGATTCTAAACAGGAAATAAAACGTAGCATAATGACATGGTTGGCTCAAGCACCTACCAGCATTATAAGGTTAAATTTAATTTATAATTTAAATGTTTTACATATTATTTAGTATTTTATTTAAAATTAATTTGCGTTTATAAAAACATAAATGTTTAGCAATTGTATTCATTAACATTTATTTATTTGAGATTTAAATCTCTATAATCTCTATAATTATAATTATAATTAAAAAAAGCAAGTTTTTGTTTTTAACATCTGAATTTTAAAATATTTTTAATACTTTAAATAAAAAAACAAAATGTACAATTTTATCTAATTTTCCAAAGTAGCTAGGGATCGATAAATTATTCACTTATATGGCCATACTATTATCAATTTTCATTGGGCAGCATACAAAAATAAAATAATTGTCTTTAAAAATTAAAAAATACAATTTTAACATAATATAATATAAATTTATTTATGGATACCTATAGTAACAATCACATCATGGGTTTCATAATTCAGTTGTCCTTATTAACTAATTTTTAATGATACATATTTGAAGGGCCGTTAGATAAAAGTCCCAGGTGTCGCGGATTCCCGGTGCCTGTTTTAATGGTCAAAATGGTCAAATTTTTAATGTCAAAATGAATAAATTTAAAAAATCAAAATAGTCTTTAGCATAAATATTATTATTAATTGGTAGGTAACTATTTTATATTTTTCTCTTCTTTGAAATTGTTATGGTCATACAATTAGTTATATTTATAATTTCATAAATTTTAAAGTTTATTTTATTTGTATTTACAGATTCAACACAAAGAATGCCCAGACTCCTGTTGGTTCACGTGAATCTCTTGTACATGATTCAATTTATGAGGACAGCCAATAATAACCATTCATTTTATTAATTTAACCTTAATCTAAGGAAAAAAGATAACAATTTTATTTTATTATTTTTTCATTTTAATTTTGTTTATTATGTATACATAGTTTATTTTATAATAAATTATATATACTAATAATTATATTATTTTCATTCATTATAATGATTAGGTACCTACTAGGTATTTCTATTTTTTTTTTTGTCATTGAGAGCAATTTATTATGTCTCTTGACCACAAAAACTACATCCTATTCCACCAATCATTATAAGCAAATTTGACTATAATACCTATACAATTTTTATTTTATATGTAGTATATTAATTGTATCTATTAATTTTAAAAAAAAAAAAAAAAACTATTAACAACCTATTTATATTAAAGAGTTATAATGCAATTGAAGCAAAATATATTGGAATTTTATGTGTGATCTAATAGAACTTAAAACAAAATTAATAGTACATCAGATGAGATTAAAAGGTCAGAAAAATGTATTTCGTATCATATTAATAATATTAAAAAATGAAATTTTAATATTAATCTTATGTGTTATAAACGTTTTTAAAGTACCATTTCATTGCACATAAAATGTTTAAAAAACACTAAATAAGCATTTTTTTAATATTATTTTTGAAATGAAATGTTGGCCATTAAGACATTTTAAAAACGTTTTATAAACACAACTTTTATATTTAATATACATTTTTATAAACATTAAAAAAAATATTTCTTTGCTGCTTGGGTTATTTCCGCAATTGGCAACTAAAGCCATATTGAGGTTGAATTTGACGGATTAAGTGTAAAACATAATTGTCTACCTAAATAATTGGGTATAACGCTAGACCGTTCGCTCACATTAAGTGAGCATTTCAGTAACCTCAGTAAAAAGATCCAGTTCCGGGTTAACCTGGTGCAAATGCTTGCTAAAAGAGGCTGGGGTGCTGAAGCTAAGACCTTACTTGGAAGCCGCATTGAGCCTAGTTTATAGTTCAGCAGAGTATGGGTCCCAAGTTTGGTGTAACAGTACACGTGTAAGCAAAATAGACACGCAGCTCAATAGCGTAATGAGTGCAATAATCGGGACAGTCAAATCTACACCACTGCAATAGCTACCAGCACTGGCAAACATTAAACCATATCTCCATATAAAAGTTGGCCGCCTTAAATGTACCAGAATTCAGAGGCGACTACAAGGAGTGGGCCACGTTTCACGACATGTTTGTAGCTCTAGTTCACTCAAACGAAGACATAATGGACATTTAACAATTTTTCCACCTAAAATTAGCACTCAAAGGAGAGGCAGCAAAAGTGATTCAAAGTTTTGAAACATCGGCAAAAAACTATTCAACATCGTGGGAGTGCGTAAAGGCGTGGTATAATAATAAACGCATTTTAGTAAAAAATCATACAAAAGCAATTTTTGACTTAAAACATATAGACCAGGAATCGTCCGCGAAGTTAAGGTACTTTATCGATGCATTGCAAGGGCACAGAAAAGCCTTAGAAGCGTTAGGTTTTGATACAAATAGCTAGGGCCCACTTTTATTGCACGTTATTCTAATAAAATTGGACACAGCCACGTTACATGAGTGGGAAACTCAAGCGCATAAAACGGAGGTGTCCGAAGTGAATGAGTTAGTAGAATTTTTACACAAAAGATTTCAAATATTATTTAAAACTTAACCAAAATACTCATCAGTTCTCAACAAAGCAAAAAAAATATGTAGGAGATGGTTGTCAAAAAACGACATCAATGCACGCAACGAAAACAAAATTAAAATTTTTCGCATGCAATGAAAGTCACCTGATCTACAGGTGTACACAATTTTTTCACTTTCAGTTCCCGAGAGAAAAAGCAAAATAGATCAACTAAAAATTTGTATTGTGTGTTTATCCAAACACGCAGAAAACAAATGTAAATTTAAAGGTTGCCGGAAGTGTGGTGTAAAACATAATACATTGTTACACGCGCCCAGCAATGATAACGGCAACGATAATGACAACGTAACGACATCAATTAGTGCTCACGCGAGCAATAATATCGGACATACTATGCACGTTTTATTATCAACAGCGAAAATAAACATTCTATAATCAAACGATATATTTTGCGGGGAGATTGTAAACTCGGCCTGAGGAAAAAACATTTCCAAAAGGTCGATGTTGAACTTGGCCCGGGTTTTTTTCAGGTCAAAATTATTTAGGTGTAAACTCGGCCCCGATTTTTTTCAGGTAAAAATGATTTAGGTGTAAAAACCATCATTTTTCTTATAATATTTTTGAAAACATTTAGCATTACCCAGAGGACACCACGAGGAGGCGGTTCTCATTATCCTCTAAAAATTATTTTCATTTTCATATTATGAAATTCGTTATTCAAATGAAAAATGTAATTAAAATGTTATAATATTGATAATAAAGACTTGATTATAAGTGTAAAAATATAATAAAAAATATATAAGTAAAATTGTAGTGTAAATAATGAGTGAAAAATTTTAGTATAATAATATATAAATCTAGTTTTATAAGTAAAAAGCCATGTATTTCAGCATATTCACGCACTGAATACTGATATTTCTTTATTTTTATATTTTGTAAGTGTTCTTTCTAAGAGTTCTTTTTTTTTTTAGTTTTTTTTTTTTTTTGGAATTTAAATGGTGCATCTAGGCTGTTGATTTTATTGTACGTTTCTATTTGTACTTCATTTTGAAATGACGGAATATATATTGAGATGAGTGGAATTAAAACTTGAATTAAAATGCGCATGAAATGATTCACATGCATTTGTTGTTAAATACGTTTCAACTGATGCACTGACCCACATTTCAGGCGGAAACATAGAATCTTCTCCTATGTATGTATCGACTAAATAATCTGCGAATTTAGTTACTCGATTATCATCAGGTTTCAATTCCATTAGGGTTAAAGTAAAAAATTCTGAAACATTTTCTGGCTCTAAGAACACTAATCCATAACAATGAATCAACCATTTGCTTATTTCCGAATCTTTTGTATTGTAGTCTACACTTAATCCATTTTGTTGTATATTCCTATACCAAGCTTGTGTTATGTGGAATCGGCATCCATATATTTTAATGTTTGGGCAAATAAAATTACAAGTGTTATGAATGGCTTTTTCAAAATCACTGATAATGGCTATTGGTTTAAAATCACAATTAATAACCCTACATTTTTCACGAACAAGTTTTAAACATGAAATATATGTATCTGTAGTTTTTCCGGCTAATAAACAAAAAATAAGCGGTATGTAATGCCCATGTATTGTAAACATCTGTTTAAAAAACTTGGCACAGTATGAAAAAGTTCCGTCAACATATATATATTTTGATGTGCAGAGTGTTTTCAAATTTTTATCACAGCTAAAAATGATTATTTTTTCGTGTATATCATTAATTAATAAAAAATTCGTATTTCTATTCGTCACTATTTCCATACCTTCTAATACCTTGTGTACTTCGTTGATCGATTTTGGTAGTGCAGGAATTAACGTTCTTCTGGCATTGTACATATTCCTCTTAACATACCGAATATCACTTACTTGTAGTTCTTCCGTGACAGGTACATTATTAACTGCACTACAAACAATTTTATTTGGCCTAGTGCAGGTATCCTCAGTTGCTTTGCGTTTGGCCACGGTGGTAACACTTTGTCGTTGTAGTATTTGGTCCTCGATAGGTTCATGCAGGTGAACGTTTTTTAAAAAAGCTGTACATTTGCGGTTTATACATCGCCATTTTATTTCGCCTGAAGCTAACGGACGAGTTACTTTAGAATATTTAAAATGTTCTAAAACGAAAAGTGGCTGTCCACGTTGGGATTCAACTATGCGTGTCATCGTCACGGTTGTGTAAACACTACTGAAACGTCGTTTCAAAAGTCCCATATAAAAATGAAATTATTTGTCTCAATGTTTAAATATATTTTAACACGATAAGGTATATAGATACGTTCAAATCAGATCAAATTATGTCGTGCTTATTATATTTTATTGGTCAAAGTCAACGACCAACCTTTTTTATCACCTGACATTTTCGGGCCAAGTTTATAATCGATTTATTTAACTACCTGACCGGCAAAATCAATGTGCACTGAGTGGTTACTATGCCAGTTTTTTGCTCTTGGGGCCTCGTGCGCCTTATCATTATCATGATAAGTACCACAGTAACATTGTTCTATGACAGTACCCATGAAATATTGTATTATCTTTATATATCGGTGATAAGTATTGATTTTGTGTTCCATCTACACTTGCACCAGCTTGCACTCAGGACGATTACGATTTTCTCTATTCTGTGACGATTATCAGTGACCTATATCAGTGCAACCGTGCGGTATGGCGGTATTATTCGAAAAATAATGGTAAGGTCGAATGGTTGATTATAAATCATAGAGTAATTTAATTTTAACATAGATAATAGATTATTATTATCTATGAATTTTACTCTGTTATAAAATATAAATATCTACTAATCGTTTATTACATTCTATGATCATGCTGACTGGCCATTCATTTACAAAAATGCAATAAATATATATGTACTACATTTTAAGTTTTTATCTGTTAAAATAATATATCATTTAGTAGCTTATATTTTATTTAAACTGTATCTACTATGGCCAAAACGTATTTTCAAAGTAATTGGATTGACAAGTATTCTTGGGTAAAAAAAGATGTTGACAATAAAAATTCTGCCTTTTGCAAACTCTGTCTGAAATCATTTTCATTAAGCAATATAGGTATTACAGCAATCCTAAGCCATATGAAAGGTAAGAAACACACAACTATTACTAATGCTCAAAAAGAAAGTTATAATGTTAATGATATGTTAACATCAACAAACGATGTTAACGTTAATCAATCTATGATTGAGAATAATAATTGTACAGTGTCTACCAAAAACCAACAAATCTCTACTTTTCTTGAGCGAGATAAAGTTACAAGGGCAGAAGTAATATGGGCTTTAAGTTGTATTGAAAATCATTTATCAATGTCGGCTGGTGAGAGATGTGTGGAAGTTATGAAATAAATGTATCCAGATTCTGAAATTGCTTCAAATATACAACTTCAAAGAGCTAAATTAACCTATATAATCATTTATGGATTAGGAAAGTATTTTTCTGAGAGTTTAATATCAGAAGTTCTAGATTCCGATTTTTTTTCTATATTATTTGACGAATCACTTAACAAAATATCTCAAAAAGAACAAATGAATATAATTGTGCGATTTTGGTGCAAGTCATATAATAAAGTAATTTCTCGTTACTTGACATCATGTTTTTTAGGACACACGACTGCTGTTGATTTATTAGAAGCTTTGAAGAGTGCCCTCAAGAATTTTGACCTTAATAAAATGATACATTTATCAATGGATGGGCCTTATGTCAACATTAAAGTTTTAAAGACATTGCAAATGGAATTAGCCAACATGCAAAACATCAATACAGTAATGTTGGATTTGTGTACTTGTGGAATTCACACGTTACACAATTCGTTTAAAGTTGCTATGCAGACGAGCAAGTGGGAAATTATTGAGTTTTTAAGAGCTATTTATAATACTTTTAAAAATGTCCCTACTCGCAGATCTCACTATACTAAATGCTCAGGATCATACAAATTCCCTCTCAAGTTTTGTCCAGTAAGATGGCTTCATAATATACAAGTAGCTGAAAGAGCTGAAGACATTTTACCAAATTTGGAAAAGTATGTAAGTTTTGTTAAAAATACACCTAGAGAACCAACTTCTAGTTAATAGTTATAAAATAATGATCAATTGCTTAAATGATAAACTATTAAAACCCAAACTTGCTATCTTTAAATCATTGGCCAATGAAGTTGAACCTTTTTACGGAATTATCCATCAGATGCCCCAATGGTGCTATATAAAAAAAACTTATACATTTAGTATCTTATAGAAAATGTTCTGGAAAATGACTGGAAAATCAGGGAATTTTGAAATCTAAATTCTGTAGCAACCCTGTACATTTCTAATGTTAGATATTATAATAGTTGCTAAATATTTCCCAGGTTGTTAGAACGAGTGTTGTTTAGACTCTGCTGTTTACATTCATTTGGAGAATTTGAAGTATCATACAGTTGTTATTTTGTAAGTTAAAATTACATTTATATTTACTAGTTACCTTTTTTTATTTAAACAATGTGTTTTTAATTAAATTTATATACCTATATATTTACTTATTATTGGTGGAGATTGCTACAATCTGCGTTGCTTATAAATTATGTATTTCTTCGTACATCAATAGACTTGATGTAAATAAATAAATATTCATTTAATTTTTAATGTTAGATATTATAATGGTTGATAATTATTTCCCAGGTTGTTAGAACGAGTGTTGTCTAGATCCTGCTGTTTACATTCAGTTGGAGAATTTGAAGTATACAGATTTAGTTTGTAAGCTTATATTAGATTGTTAATTAGATTGTTTGATAGTATAAAATACTACTTGGTATTAAAATGATTTGTTTTATATGTGAATTGAACTTTGGAAATTGGAAAGCGTTAGTATGTCATTTTAAAATATTTCATTCATTAAAAAGTCATAGTACTTATAGATGTGGCGAAGGTAACTGTAAACAATCTGTTCAGTTCTTAGCTACATTTAAAAGACGTATTCATGCTAAGCACTTCCTAGAACTACAATTAATTTTTCAAATTCCTGAACAACCTTGTACCAATTCTTCACTACCATCTCTTAATGCTGAAACTAGTCATAGAAATTATCTTTTAACTGAAAATGAAAATGCTGAAATTCCATTTAATTTTGAACTAGTTAGTGAATTGTTATACAAGTTAGCAGTAGAACTGGTTTTTAATTTACATAGTAACAATAATTTTTCTAGAGTAGACATTGTAAATAATCAAGTTGGTATAGTAGAAAAGATTTTAACTCCTATGTGTCCATGTTAAAAAAAGTTGTGGATGATGAAATAAAAGAGCCTATTTTACTTTCTAAATTTCATCGAGTTTCATCCGTCATCGAAAATACTTTTCTTTACTGTAGCACTGAATATCGTTTATTAGATTGGCTTATTAATAATGAATTTTTGTCCAAAATAAATCAGTTTACTATAAACAATGAAATTTGTCCAGTTCAACATATTGGTGAAACTATATTTGATGAGAAAAATACAAAAGGTGCTCTATTACCATTAAAAGGCCGGTTTCAAAAATATTTTGAACAAGGTGACAATTTCAAAAATCAGTTTACACGATTAAATGTATATAAAACCAATGAATATACAACTATGGACAATCTTGTTCAAGGAACTCTTTGGAAACAGAAGGTCTCTCAGTATAGTAACGACAAAATTATAATACCTTTTTTCTTTTACATGGATGAATTTGAAATTAATAATCCATTGGGAATTGGGATCTCATTCAACATTTCAATCCGTTTCAGCTGTATATTATAGCTTTCCATTAGCGGAAAATAGTTCTCAATTAACAAATATCTTTTTTAGATGCATTAGTAAAACATGTGGATCTTACATCTTTTGGCAATGACAAATGTTTAGAAAGTTTCGTTAATGAAATCAATATACTCGAAAGTGAAGGTGTTAGCATTTCAACAGAAGATGGATATTTCCATGTACATTTTGTTTTAGGAATAATTCTAGGAGATAATTTAGGCTTAAACAGTTTATTGGAGTTCAGTAAATCTTTCTCTACAAATTTCTTCTGCCGCTTCTGTAAAGCTCATAAAACAGTAACTAAAATAATGCATGAAGAAGATTTATCTGCTATGCGTAACGTTCACAACTATTCTGTAGATGTTGCTAGCTCAAATTTCATAGAAACTGGAATTTATAAAGAGTCGTTGTTGAATCGAGAAACTCATTTTCATGTTACTCAAAATGTTTGTATAGATATCATGCATGACTTGTATGAAGGTATTTGTCATTATGATATATGCCATATACTTACACACTTTATTGATACAGCAAAATTATTTTCATTAGAAACTCTTAATATCCGAAAAATGAATTTTAACTATGGACCAATAGAGGTAGGTAATATTTCACCTCCTATAAAAATTGTTCATTTAAAAAAAAGACATTTGAAAATGTCAGCTAGAGAAGTCATGACTTTTGTTCATTTCCTTCCTCTTATGATAGGAGACTTGATGAGTGATGAGAAGTGATGAGAGTGATGAGTTTTGGGAACTTTTCCTTATATTGCTTCAAATTATAGACATTCTTTTATCATACACATTTACTGATAATGCAATTTCTCATCTTAAGCAATTAATTTCACAGCACAACTCAATGTATGTTACACTTTTTAACGACAGCCTAAAACCAAAACATCACTTTTTAGTAAGCTATCCAACAATAATAAAACATTCAGGTCCTCCTAGGCATTACTGGTGTTTTCGCTATGAGGCCAAACACAAGGAATTGAAAATGTATGCTAGAGTAACAACTTCTAGAAAAAATATAACGTTGACATTAGCTAAAAAATACCAGTTTAAATTTGCTCAAAATTTAATGGAAACAGATAAAAACATTATTTTTAAAGATAAACATAAGATTATAAGTAATTACACTGAAACTATTAACAGTAAACGTAATCTAACTTCATCACAGTATAGTTGTTATAATGAGTTAAAATTTAATGGCATTTTATATGAAGAAGGATATTATCTAACCAAAAATTGTAATGAAACATGTTTATTTAAAATCAGTGAAATTATATTTATTAATTAACCAGATATTATGGTTTATATTTTGGGTACCGAAATAAAATTGAACGAATTTAGTTCATATTATGAATCTTTTAATGTGAGTAGTAGTGAAGAAGTGATAAATTGTTGTTTTATATGTGGTGTTAATGAACTTGATGGACCTCCCATAAATGTCACAAC